AATACTGTAACTGAAAAGAGCATAGATGGATATAAGTGGCTAACTAAATAGACAAAATAAGTGTAAAATAATAAAAAACTCTTTTAATTGGTAATCAAATTAAAATTCATCATATTTATTTTTAAGAAATAAAGGTGTAACCACATGTTTATTTCGGTTTAACTTTTCTATGGTATCGGGGTAAGTAAGCTGATGGCGACTACCGCCGCCCATAGACACTAACAACTCAAGAGTTTCAAGTGCATTGGCGCTAGACATGGCGATTATAGCTACTTTTAAATCATATTCATTCACAGCGATTTCATTTGTGATTGTGATTTCGTTATAGACAAAGAGAAATGCCTCAAAATTATTTTTATCAAATATTCGCGGGCCTGTTGGTCTAGTGGTTAGTGACCCTGACTGCTAAGCCGTAGGTCGTGGGTTCGATTCACACCCAGGTCAAATAATTGTGTGATAAGCACAATGATTAGTTCTGTGTCTGGGTGTAATTTATCTAAAATAGGTATGTATTTGGAAATATATAAGTATGTTCATCAGCAGTCTGGTTACCATAATAATTAGTAATAATAATAATTAGTCGCCCTAACATATCTGATTAAAAATCATATGATTTTCTCACATGTGATTGTGATTATGTGCCATCGAGAAATGACGCCCTTTGAATGCTTTCCCTGGAAGAGATGTGGGTTGGGCTCCGCTGACGTCACTCACTCTGTAAAAAGCAACGAAACAACTGCCTAACTCCGGTTTTCTGTAAAGCTTTGATAGCACTTCGGTCAAGCCATGTGTGCCGAAAGATGGCTCTCCCATGATAAACTACTGTGTAAGTGTGTAAAATAGACGTATCAGAACGCTACATGTTTGAAAATAGTAGGGCATCACTACGTGAGCAAAATTGAATATCTTTAATGAATAGGATGTTTGGAGGAACGGGTATCATTTGCCTTCAACACAAAGGGAGGATTCTAAGACCAGGCGAGGTTAACGGTTGGGGTTGGGAAGTTGTATATATTCTAATTCGGCGAGAGAATTATTCATACCGCGATATAGGACTATCAGTTACAACGTAGTTCGGTGTGTCTTCGTTAGATGGCGTTTTAGTGTGTTTTTGTGTCATGATATGTGGAAGTCGCCACAATAACAATAGAAAGCTAGTTTTCCCAACTTACAGACCAATGTAAACATAAGTCAACATAATATTTTATTATTTGTTTATACAATAGCTTTAGGCCTATTCTTATATATCTATCTATAACCTACAACTATTTTTGAGTTAGTCTTTAAAAAATTCACGATGGCACTTTTTCGGTGCCTACCTGATACTTATTTTTTAAATAACCTGTCGAACTTTTTATACAGTTACTTTGACTTTGTTTTACTTACTTTTTGTTGGGATATTGGTTTGTATTTGTATAGTATTGCAGTTACGAGCGTGTATATGATAAGAATATACGTAAGTACTTGGTGATGAATTCCGTACTTATACACTACCAGATTGATGTGGCTTTTATGCTAGGAGCTACTTTCATTTGCTGGAGACCTACAATGGCATTGTAGTGATATTAGATTTCTCGGGTCGAATCCTGGTACCTTCACATTTCTTAGTGATATTCATGGTACAGTGCGATGGCTTGAACATTGTGTTTGTACTGTTGCTGCAGCCAGGTTAGTGGATAGTAATAGTATATCAGACCCATATATGTTAGTATGTGGTGTTAGGCAAGCTGGAATAACATCGACTGTATTATTTAACTGTTATATATCTGATTGTTGAACTCGCGTAATGAACTCTTAACTTAATGAACTACACTAACTTGATTTAATGAACCAAAACGTCAAAGAAGTTTCATACCTGAGACTTCTCTCAAAAGAAAAGTTTATGAAGCCTACGTCCCACTTGAGTGGCATCAGAGGCTGTGAGTTTATTCAGATCAACTCGCTCTCCGAGGCGATCGCTTTCGCCGTTGCCATTGGTGAAGAGTTCAGTACGGGCCAATCACAATCGCGGTCACCATGACCCTAGCGTTGATGTGAAATAAACCCTAACTAGGCCCCCAGTTGTGGGCAATAACTTAAATGTTTGTATTTCCCATGAATTTGGTGTGTTTGGAATATTTTACAAAGGAAAAAGGGAACGGGTCTAGTAAAATATTTTTGTTCCGAAATTTAGTGTTAATTTTAGTAAAAAGTAAAGAACAAACATTTCACACCTATTGGTAAATGATGATTATCAATATATCTGTATTTATTTATTTATATCTTTATTATTTACAGTTAACACATAAGACATTACAAATATATAGACGTAACAATCGGCAGTCTTATTGCTCACGGCGATCTCTTCCAGACAACCTTGATACGGATATTAGTTATTTAAAAGTTGGGTAGTTTACATACACGTAGCGCATTATCACGTGAATATTTAAAATATAAACAAAAGCATTCATACACAAATAAACATCTGTTTACATTACACATAGATACATAAACAAAATTTATAAATATACATATACATATTTATATATACATATATTTACATATTTAATAGACATACACTCAACATATATATATACAGTCCAAAATATATACTATATATAATGAAACCAACAGTATTTAAAATGTCAGATAAAAATCCTTCACTAGCTTTTTGAAAGCGGGCAAGGTTTTAGCTTGTCGGATTGTCAAAGGCAAGTTGTTCCAAAGTCTTACTGCTTGCACAGTCAAAGGAAAAAAATCAACAACGAAGAAGAAACATCAAGAGATCAAGAAACAAAACTGTATGGTCAAATTTATTAAATACTTTAATATAAAATTTACAAACTTTTTATTACAATAAACAGTGGCAGATTATCCCCAAGACAATGTAGGCACGTGCCACGTCACAAATTTTTAACAAAAAAAATGCACGTAACATAATAAGAACTGTATCAATAAGTATGCACACACTTAGACAATATAAACAATAATTCTTTAATTCTATATAGAGGTTTAAGATTGACATCTTGGGTTTATAATAATAAAATATTAATAACCTCTTTGCTTTCTTTTTCTTTTACCTAAGAAGATTGAGGCTAGTGCGTGTACACAAACATGCAGTTGCTGCAACTTCAGCTGAAGTTGAGATTACTCTATGATAACAGACTAGGGTTGTCCAGTCAATGGCACTATACGGTGCACAGGTGTTGGCGGAAGCTCTGACCACCCATTATAAGTCAGGCCGCTAGCATCCGCAAGATTGGTTACAGAACCCTCCCATGGGATTTAGAGTCGGAAATGAGTAGCTTAAGGCCGCTTGACGCGCCACGATGGTAGTCCGGGCTGGAGGCTCGATGTCCTCGGTATTATTATTGCGGTCATGGTACGGAGCGAGAGCCTCCACCTCCATCTGCGAGCAAGTTATACTCGAGAAGAAGAGGGCGGAGCGGGACCTGAAGAGGCTTAGAACTCTCCGAGTCCGCCAGGCCCGGGAACGGCCAAGGTACTGCAGGCGACTCAGTATGAGGGTGACAGGTGAGGCCATCTGTTACCAAGAAAAGAAAGGTCCAGATGTCTTAATAAAACAGTAGTTTTAGTCGGTTTGATACCGATACACCGTCCTACCGCAAACCTCGTAACACGTAAAACAAATACAAAAGTTGTAGTAAAGAAATACCAACTATTTGGAGTTATCACTATCACACATTTCGTTACGTCAACTTGTAGCTACGATTAAAAATATTAGGGGTTAAACTCGGTTAAAGTATGATGTTGTCGTTGTATTAGTTACTTTGAATTGATACAAAACCTCCATGGTGAGAGATTTTTGTGTGAAACTTTTTTCACATGATACCTATGATACACATGATACCTATATTTTAAAAAGTGTGCAACATTTTATTTGCGACTTTCTATAGTTTTTTTATTCAGCATGATGGATATTTCGAAAATTCGATTCATTTTTGAATACGAGTTCCGACGAGCAACTAACGCGGCAGAAACGGCACGCAATATCAACGCTGCGTTTGGAAAGAAGACTGCTAATCAGCGCATCGTGCGTTTTTGGTTTAAACGCCATCGTAATGAAAACTTCGACCTGAACAACAAAACCACTTGGAAAACCGCCCACACTTTACAACGCTGAATTGAAGGAGATGGTAGAAGCCGATTCGAGTCAAACTACCCAGGAATTACCAGCATGGTTTAACGTTACCCTACCTACAAAATTGACTCATTTGCATCAAATCAATAAGATAAAAAAAATATGAAAAAGGGGTGCCTCATGATTTGACTCATATGCAGAAACAAATGCGTGTTGAAACTTGGGTTGCCTTGTTGAATCAGTACAGAAATGAATGAATATTAGATCGAATTGTGACATGTGACGAAAAATGGATTACTTACGATAACCGTAAACGAAAAATGCAATGGCTGACCTCAAGTCAAACGCCGCAACAGTGCCCTTTTTTTTCCCGTGCGGTTTTTTTTTAAATAAAAATGTTATGGTAACTGTTTGGTGGTCTCTTCATGGTGTTATTCACTATAGCTTTCTCAGGTCTGGTCAGGTAATAACAGCAGATGTTTACTATGCCGAACTTCAAACAATGATGGCGAAACTGGCAGTGAAATAGCCCCGACTCGTGAATTGATCTTCACCATTATTGTTCCTCACACTGCACAGGAACTGCAGTTAGAAAGCATATGTCATCCTACGTACTCGCCAGACCTTGCTCCAACTGACTACCATTTTTTTCGTGATTTGGACAATTCTAAGTGATAAAAGATAGATAATGAGGGTAAATATTTTGATTAAATAAATATGGTAAGTACATCATAAAAAAACAAGTTTCAATTGTTTAATACAAATCGGCAATTTCATACCTTAACACCTAACATGAGGAGGCGCCGACGAGATGTGTACCTAGGACGCTCTAGATACTTAATCCGCCTCTGACAAAAAATATACTATTTTAACAAAAAAATAAACATAATTCTTTTTCTATTCTATATTTGAATCCATTTCAAACTCGAATATGGAACGTGGATAGAAAATCTGGGGCTCTGACGACCACGTGCTCAAAATCCATGAACGAAAGGCGGCCATCACCATCTACGTCTGCCTCGTCTAAAACACTCGTCACAATGTCTTCGCGCTCTTGCGGGTGTAATTCTCCTTTTGTAAGAAGTCTTGTCGCTTCTAGAAGGTCGTCCCGGCCTATGAACATGTCGTCGTCTAAATCGTATATGCGGAAGGCGTACCTGTTCGGTTAAAATATTTCATATATAAATTACCTTTTTTTTTCAAATTATCAAAATCTGCTTTAAAAGTTTTTAAGTTATCCTTCGACATAAGAAACAGTACACGAATACATTCAACAATTAAAAAGGTACGTTCGTAGTAACAGTTCAAGATGGTCATCGATATTAAACAAAACATTTAAGAAGAAACTCATTCACTGCGGCAGACCAAGCGAACTTTATTACTCAAAATAATTTATTTTAAAAACTCGTTACCTACAAATAAGTATTCATTATATCATAGTCTTTTCCTTTTGAATAATTTCATTCGTTCATATAAGTTGAAAAAAAGGCGTGCAAGAAACGCTCTCTCGTAAGTTCATGTTTATTTTGTGATAACTCTAAGATAAACAAGAAACTACGAAATTATTTAATGACGCAACTTTGTCGTAGTAATGTTTAGTAACGTAAACGCCGACGTGGCATCTAGAGAATAAGTTTACGAGGACAATTTAGTTGAAGAAGTTTGAGTTCGAAGACTTATTGTGGACATTTATTCTCTTCGTCTAGCGTTTAAAACAACAGTCGTTTGAAGTGTGGAAGAAATAAGTTACTAATAAAACCAGAATAGAAGGCAATTGTGTAATAAATACCTACACAGACTATTTGACTAATTAAAATTCATGTATAAAAAATGCAAGACAGGGAGAGATGTAATTGTGGCAATATTAAATCTTCAGATATCTTAATTTATGTAAACTATAAAGTACGCATAATGATTGTCAAGTATAGACTAGGTAATGATAATACTTTTTTTAACTAAAACAATTAAAATAGATCGAACTAATTGAACAGGATTTTTTTTTAATAGCAATAAGGCATAATAGAAATTTAAAAAAAATGTGCAGAACGCTTGGCGTGACGCCATTGTTACGTGTTTGAAAATGGAATCACGAACATTCGCTGTTAGGAAGTATCTTCTAAATGAAACAAAAGTTTTTAATCCGTGTTTTAATTTTCGTCGTATGAGTTTTTTGACTTTCAATTGCGTAAGTTTTCCAATATCGTTTACTCGGTTTATCATTGCAATTTCCACAAAAAAACATTGAATGACATAAAGCCATAATAATTCAAATCGTAGTTTTAACAGAATTATTCAGCTTTAAAGAATTGTACCTTTAGTATTTATTGTGATAATTTCACAATTATCTTCGCGTGAGTCTTAGTAAACGACCTTTGCAATATAATATAAATAAATTGAAAATGGATTCAGATGCCTCTTGCTTCGTTTTTTTTGACTTCGGCAAACAAACAAGAAACTAAAAACCGACAGAGACGGAGGACGTAAGACCAAAAAAGGCGAGCGAACTAACTATACTTTTAAGATTAAAATTGACTCCTGGATTGAAATACAGAGAAGATGGAGGGCTATCTAAATGCTAAACAATGAGGGTCTTCGATACTTTTTCTGCCACCAGACGGCGCTTCGTATGCGTCAGGACGTTTGGAGCTGCTCAGATTCTTACCGAACATATATTTTTGTAGTGAAATTCTATTAATTTGGAAGTGTTATTGAGTTTATTATAGATTACGGCCAGAGAAAGGTTGCCGAACTGAAGATTGAGCTCAGAAAAAGAGGCGCAAAAGTTTTATTTGCACACATAGGCTTCCATAACACTGTGGAATTTTAGAAATCAGTATTCCTTTTGTAACGTTTTTAAGAATGAATAAACCAAAAAAATGATCGAAAAATACAAATCGTATATGTGTTTTGACAGGTGGTTGGACCTGACTCTAAGTGCTGCCACCTCACGTGGAACATTTCAGAAAACCCTCATTACTTAACAACCTTTCCTATTTCTTAGTTTAATATAGTACTGGCTATCCATAGAGTTTGTATTACCAAGCTTTAATATCTCTGGGCGCTGCTTCGCTGAATACAGACATCATATCCAAGAAGTCTTCAAATGTAAGGTTTCCAGATCCATCGTGTGAGAACACCTGGCAGATTCGTCTCTTGAATGGATTCTCCTGGAACATAAGAAAATTATTTGTCAACGCAGAACTTTATTCAGAAGTCATAGCATCCTGTAGGACTCATTTAAGCAGTTGGCAGCTATATTCAATAGGCAGTGGAAATACAGTACCAGAGGTCTTAACTGTAGGCTGTGACACTGGTCTGAATGGTAGAAAGAACCTCTAGGGTTCCTTCTGTCCTTACATTATAACGAGATGATAATTGAAAGCTAGTGGATCTTGTACATTCATATTATATTAAATTAGTGCTATTTATTTCAGTAACAAATATTTAAAACATTACAACATCCTTTTAAGTATGATAATTGTAATATACATGCTTGTGTCAGGAGACCCCGCTCTTCTATTAATTACTATTTTTAACCGATTTCAAAAAAGGAGGAGTTTCTCAATTCGTCGAAATCTTTTTTATGTATGTTCACCCATTACTCGAATACACCTGAACCTGATTTGAAAAATTCTTTTTTTGTTTTAAAGGGTATACTTCCGAGGTGGTCCCATTGAGATTTTATTGAAATTATACGACGGCGGGTCAATAAGTCCGTGACTTTTTGAATTTCTGACCTCTTTACTGAAAAGCAACACTACTCCTGTCAACAGGCCTCTGTCAGTTGACTCCTGTCAAAATTTGAACTTGCTGCGTCAGTTAGTTTGTGTTTGACAACTATCTTTATCAGACTACCCAGTAATTTGAGGAAAAAATGGAAAAAAGTGAATATCGTGTGCTTATTAAGCATTATTTTTTGCGATAAAAAACCATTACCAAGGCTAAGCTTGATAAATACTATGGGGACGCTGCACCATCGATTTCAATGGTAAAAAAGTGGTTTACTGAATTTCGTTGTGGCCGTACAAGCACTGAAGATGCCGAACGTCCTGGACGCCCAGTTGAGGTCTCTTCACCCGAAACAATCGAAAAAATTCACGATATGGTGTTGGCCGTCCGAAGATTGAAAGTGCAAGAGATTGTGGAAGCCGTAGTGATCTCGCATGGCTCAGTGGTTTCAATTTTGAATGATCACTTGGGCATGAGAAAGCTTTCCGCAAGATGGGTGCCGCGATTGCTCACAGTCGACCACAAACGCAATCGTGGAACAACTTCACAGGAAGGTTTGGCGTTGTTTAATCGCAATATGGAGGAGTTTTTGCGCCGTTTTGTAACCGAGGACGAAACATGGATCCATCACAACACACCAGAGACCAAACAACAGTCAAAACAGTGGATTTCTAAGGGTGAATCGGCGCCAAAGAAGGCCAAGGTGGGTTTGTCAGCCAATAAAGTTATGGCGACTGTCTTTTGGTATGCACGCTTGATAATCCACATTTACTACCTTCAAAAGGGAAGAACAATCAATGGGGAATATTATGCCAACTTATTGGACCGATTCAATGACGATTTGAAAAAAAACCGACCTCATTTGGCCAAGAAAAAAGTTCTTTTCCACCAAGACAATGCAAGGGTGCACACATGTGCAGTTGCCATGGCAAAAATCCATGAATTGGGCTATGAATTGCTCCCTCATCCGCCCTATTCTCCAGATTTGGCTCCGAGTGACTACTTCTTGTTCCCAAACCTGAAGAAATGGCTTGGTGGAAAAAGATTTCGAAGGACCTCGACAAATCATATTTTTTGGAAGGGATAAAAAAATTGGAGAAGCGTTGGACAAAGTGTATAGAGCTCAAGGGAGACTACGTTGAAAAATAAAATGATTTATTTATCAAAAAATCTGTGTTTTATTCCAAAAGTCACGGACTTATTGACCCGCCCTAGTAGAGCGGTTTTTGAAAAATCAACAAAAATCTAGAAATTGTATTTATTTGTTTATTATTAATTGTATTATTTATTTATACATATAATATATATATTTTTTAAATATATACTTCAGATATTACATAATTATATTGTTATATATCTATATATATCTATATATAATCGAATTTCTGTACTTTGTACGAATTAATTATATTTTATCAATAAATTTTAACGATTAACTTTGTAATCGCAATATCTGTCATAACACTATCATGTCCAAAGATAATCACAAAAAACATCGTTCATCATAATACCAATGTTATCTAATATTTAAATAATGATAACAATTTTTATCTATATGACGCTTTATTTGTACGCCAGGGTTTATCAACATCTTCTTGCCGTTTTTCCAAATTTAGTTGGGGTCGGTGCAATGAGTTTTCTTCTTCCATTCTTCGTCACTTTTAATACAACAAGCCTTTAATAGTCCACTGCTGGACATAGGCCTCTCCTTAGAAATAAGGTTTTGGCCTACTACACCACGCTGGCCATACGGGTTGGTATAGGGTTTGTTTCAAGTTTTCCTTCTCTTTGCAGTGCTGTTGTCCTCCGTAATTTGCTCCCTAAGTCGGCTTTTACAACACCCACGGGATGAATAGGGGTGGTGACACTCCGTATTCTTAATCCGTCACCACACGGACATAACAACACCAATAATGTACAAAAGGCGGAATTATTTCTTAAAGCAATCTCTTTAATTATACAACTTTAAAAACGTTATATTGTTGGTAGAGATATAATGATAATTTTATTTTTTAATTTTGAATCTTTAGAGCTTATAATCGAACCACTTCAATAAACGGTATTTTATGACATCATACAACCTGTACAACACAAACAAAAATTCAGTTCCATTGACAAGTTGATTGACAATACTTTTTTATGTACCTATACTAATCACCGAACGTTCTCAAACCTGAGGAGGTTACTAATTAGATTGATGATTGGTTGAATGATGCGATTTTCGATTTAAAATCTTTTTTATTAAGGATCATAATCTTGTAATGGTGATTTGTGGTAGAAGGGAAAGGCGTCTACATCGTCATATCTCGACTCCTAAAAATTTAATCTTCATTACCAATTTAGAAAAAATACTGATAATGTAAGTGGCCTGTCGGCCTAGTCATTAGTGATACCGAGTGCTGTACCAGAGGTCGTAGGTTCAAGTTCCGGCAAGGACCAATAACAGTGTGTGAAGAGTACGATTTTATGTTCTGTGTTAGTTGTAATATATAAAATCTAATACATACATTTAAGTTTATTTATTTTTTTATTCAAGTCAGATCATATAACCCGCCCCGCGTCGCTCCCGGTGCAAAGGTGCCCATGATACTGGCAGCATTGCCTCGCTGAATTGCAACGGACATTCTTTGCACCAGAAACGAGCCGGAGCGGGAGTCACCACTTCTTTCCCTAACTCATAAAATCTAATTAGAAATATATATGTATGTAAATCAGCAGTCTGTTTTCGTAGTATAAGGCTCTAGTTTGGGACCACGATGTGTGAGATGTGTGAAGTTGTTATTTACTCAATATAACGCAGTATAAACCAACGTCACAACAGTATATACATTTTAATAAATTAGAATTATTGGAAATGAAATAGAAACTTAATAAAAGATTCATACAAAGTTTGAACTTTTTGATGTTCGCACTTCTTATTGAAAATACTTTTTAAAAACACCAACGACATTTGAATAATCCATAAGTTATTGAAGTGACGTCACAAAGTTAACTTTCCCAAGAAGTAAAATTGATTATATGAACAAGATGTGAAACTTTGGCTCATTTGAATTTGTATTTCAATTCCAATGAACGACGAACTTTGAATGCATAGATAAATAATTTTAATAAAAGACATTTTATTTTTTATTTGACATCTTGTTTTCGCTTTCCATTATTAGGTCAATAACAGAAAGATATCTTGTAGGTATTGTTTTTAAATAAAAATTAAACATCTTATAAGAAATCACTAAAACGTAAGCTAGTTACTGTAACGGGGGTGAGGAGCTGGAAGAGATTGTGTGACCCTAGTATTATTTATTTTAATTTTAAAAGCATTATTAAAACGAAAAAGAAAACTGTTTTTTTTTAAAAGACAGCTCCCGCATTAGGAATAAGTATATCCTGTGGCGCGGGGACTTTACAAACATACATGGAACGGACACAAAGAACACCCAGACTCAGAACAAAAATTTGTGGATCACACAAAGTGTAGTCCCATGTGGGGATCGGACCCACAGCACTTAGCGTAGTAGTAAGGGGCGTGGCGACCGCTTAAACCTCTACGCCATCCGTGCAGTCAAAAATTAATTAAGATTTTTAAATTAAATTAAGTGAGATTAGCTCTTTCTACTTAATCTAAGATTAGCCTTTTGATTGAGCTAAGTTTAGCTTTTTCAAAAAGGTAGTACTGGTCTATACAATGAGATTTAGGGTCAAGAAACACAAACGTGGTCAATTGGTGCCCGTGACGTACCTTTGATAATAGAACTACATATGTATATAGATTGACTTACTTTTAATTCTGGTAGTTTTTCTATTTCCTCCACGGGCACTGCTATAGTATGAGCCTGGTTCTCTGTCATCCGTTTGGGAACTAGTTCGGGATTCACTTCTCGAAACCGTTTGAATACCCTGTAAAACAATAACAAAAAACATTTACATACAATTACTGTCACAGTAAAAGTTTCTAAACAATTCTAGAACCAGTCACATAAAAAAACACAACCTCTTTTTCTTCGTCCCAAGGTTCGTTCCCACGGTTAGAGCATCTTTCGAAATAAATAAGGTCTCGGAGTATTAAAAGTCAAGTTAATTTTTTTTCTAACAAAGTTCTAACGGGTTAGATTCATTGCGTGATTAGAAACTATTTCGTCAAAATATTATTTCTTAATGGTCAATTTTTGTAACCCTCGAAGGTCAATGCCAAAACTAAATTTACTTCTAATTGTAACATGTTCAAATTAATGGAAGTTGAACACCAACACCTAATATTAGAAACAAATTTATACACGCACAAATATTAGTTAACGGACGCTTTGCTAATAAATAAAATAGATAAATACCCTGCTACGAGTACTATTACTTATTACCTAATTAGAGTTTGGGATATCTCGATGATTTCAGAGTCCACGAGGACTAGAGCATATGTTTAAAGTCCCGGGACGTCCCTTGACTTCAAGGCTTCTCACAACATAATTAGAATTAAGTTTACTTGGCGATATATATATTTATGGAAGACGGGGCAAACGAGCAAACCGGTCACCTGATGGAAAGTAACTACCGCCGCCCATGAACGCCTGCAACTCAGAAGTCACAAGCGCGTTGCCGGCCCTTTAAAAAGTAAAAAAATTGAGTATAACATACATTCGCGTCTTCATCCCCGAAGGGGTAGACGAGGGCTATCAAACGCCATATTTTGTTACTATATTTTTAGTTTCACTATAAAGGGCAAGTCTACTGCAGTTAAGCGGGCACATTTATTTTTTAATAAACATATATATATTCATATTTGCTCCCACACAGAAAACAAATGATCTGACTTAGAAGTCAGTACCGCTAACCACTAGACCAACAGGACTGTCTAGCGAATTTCATTTAAAAATTGCGTTGTTAAATTACATTTTTCTTTATTATAATGTAAAAAAAAGGCCAACTCAATTTCGCGTTAACATAAATCACTTCAGCGTGACGTTAAATTCATACGACATTTTTGTCAACCGTACGAAATGAGACTTGTCCTCATCTGTCCACTTACGTCCCATTGTGCGGTTGTAATGTGGAGAGAAAATGTGGCATAAAATGAAGTGACAAGAGAAAGATATATTGCTTTGGTTTGACTTGACCTTCAGGGTTTTGGAAGACACCTGTCCAAATTATTATTTGTCTCTCTCTAACCTTTACGAAAACTTTGTACTCCTTTCATAATCATGAAGTCATAAACATAAGTCATAAGACTCCTGAGTTGCAGACTTTCCTGTCACTTTCTATAGGGTGACCGCTCGTTTGCCTCTCTATCATTAAAAAAAATACGCACCACTAAATAACCAGTGTTAGGAGGGCTAATATTATTTTGCTCATGTACTGCTTCATGCAGGACAACATCTCTACAAAGAGAAGGAAAACTTGAAATAAACCCAATATCTATCTGTCTGGCCAGCGTGGTATTTTAGGCCAAAACCTTCCTTTTTAAGGAGTGACCTATGTCCAGCATGACATATGATGATGATGATGAATGCGTCATGCGGCGGACAGTTTTTTTTTGTATAATTTAGTAGGAAAATAAGGTGAACCCGGTATGTAGTACTTATATGAGGACAGCGGTTATGGTAGCTTATAGACGATAGAAAGAAAAAATTGTTGATTCTTTAAAAATATTATCGAAACTAGCAAAAGGATTATAAGTATGTTCTCTAATTTTTTTGAAGATATAAAAAATATAAATTCGTCTCTATTTTATTGAAATATTTTAAACTTTTCGTCTTCTTCTTCGTCTCTCCTTCGGTTTAGTTAAGATTATTTTTAAGTTCGACTATAAATAATATCAAAAAAGAAATGACTGAAGCGAAATGACGTCATACTTATTAATACAATGGCTCATAAATCTGAAGGCCTTGTAAGTCTTATTGGCGTATCAATGGGTCAGGTCACTTCGAATGTGTCATGTTAAGTTAGAATTTTATCTATTTTGTAGTCCTTGTTATATACTACTTAGCATAACGTCAATATTTTTTAACTAATAACCGATCTTTTTGCATTTAAAAAAATGCGTTAATTCAAAAAGTTATATCTTCGTTCTTGTAACACATTATTTAAATATCGAAGTACTCATATTCTCGTTATTATCGTAACTATTTTACCGAATATATGATTTAAATCTGATAATTCCAGATTCACTTTAAATGCAGGTTGGTAGTTAACCTCAGCATTGGGGCAACCGAAGCGAGGAGGAGGAGGAGGTAGTTAAATGACCACATCACATTTATACCGCTTTTTTTTCTGGCATTTCACGCCGCAGATATCGTGTGATTTTAGTCGTTGCGATTCCATGAGTATTATCGGATCGTTGGTTTCGATGGGTGACAGATTTCCATAAAGAAAATGGGTACAAATACATCTAAAGATGTATAGTGAAGAATCATGCTTAGGGTTATATACAACGGCTTGATCTGTAATACCCCTGCCTCACAGAAAATCTTCGGATTTTATACCGAGTGGGTAAGGTTACCTGAGGCTCAAATCCTCAAAATCTATTGTGCTCTTCGTAACTTGACTTTCTAGGTGACAAGTGTGATAACATAACATATTGCAAAGTTAGGCAATCCTAGTCAGGGTTGTCTATGAATGGATCATCCTTAACAGAATGAGAACCCTCCGTGCCTCGCAGAGCACGTTAACCCATCGTTGCCGTAAGAACATCTGTGGCATTCGTTACGGGAAGTTGGAACCTTAAAAAGTTCAACTGCAGTCTTTCTACAAAACTTTGACATCGCCTAGTACTTGTCTTGTGGAGGTCTAGTAGACTTAAAGCGGATCCCAACCTAGTTTGGAAAAAAGACTTGGACGATGAAGTGTGATAACATACTGATATTACCAATCTGTCGAGTTTTAGTTATAACTAGCTGAGACCCGCGGTGTTACCCGCGTTTGTTGTTATACCCGCGGGCAACGCCGCGGGGCGAAGCTAGTCTAAAAAAAGTAGCCTAAGTTACTCCTTATGTCATCAGCTATCTGCCAGTGAAAGTCCCGTCGAAATTGGTCCAGCCGTTCCAGAAATTACCCGGAACAAACAGACAGACAGATAGACAGACAGACAAAAATTGTAAAAAATGTTATTTTGGCATATGTACCGTGTAAACATACATATGCATTTAGTAAAAAGCGGTTATTTTAATATTACAAACAGACACTCCAATTTTATTTATTCGTATAGATAGATAGATAACATTTAAGACAAACGTCAAACAGCTTAATTTTTTATTCTTCCTATAAAACATACGTAATTCTACATTAAAAGGAATGTGTGAATCTGTTCTAAAATCAAATTTGTTTGAAAGCAATTTTTACGACACTGTAAGTTTTATAGCCGGCATCTTATACGAATCTGGAATGTCTCTTTTATGTCAGATTTGTGAAAGTTGAACTATCGAATTTTCTTTGCATATAATAATAATAGTACACATTTGATACACGGCACTCTGATCCAAGAACTAGGCAGAGCCTTTGCCTGTACCGCAGTTATCCAGACTGCTGATAAACATACTTAAATATTCCTAAAGATGTATGTATCTACATCATCATCAACAACCTTTTATAGTCCACTGCTGGACATTGGACATAGAGGTCTCCCTAGGAAGGCGATTTGTGGTATAGGGTCTGCGTCAAGTTTTCCTTGTCTTTGCAGTGCTGTTGTCCTGCGTAGTTTGCTCTCTTAGTCGATTCTTACACATATATCATAGACAAATTACACTTAGGTGCAGAACAAATGATTGTACTAATCACACAATAATTTTTCTCCGTTGATTTGAACCCACGACCTCTGGTGTTAGCAGTCAGGATCACTAAACCAGGACCGTCTGATGATCAAACTCAAACTCAAACTCAAACTTTCTTTATTTCATAAAATTTTCAAAATTGTTTGAAATCGTCTTCCATGTAGACTCTAAAGTCATAGATCAACACACACAAAAGCAACAATCTCTGTTTTGTCAAATAGTAACCAAATAAATTTAACAAAAATCAAACCCAAAAACCAAAAATTACAAAATCTATGATATGCCTGTGCCGATCTACAACCGCCCGTTTCCAAGGGGTTGAGCCTTATGAGAAGAAAGGGCAAACATCCTCATGGCCACTCTTTTGCAATTCACAAGTAGATACAATGGCACTATTAAATATATCACAACATTGTTTTGATGTGTGCTAGTATGTCCGTTATTAAGGACTTAAAGGTGAAAAAAACAACGAAGAGAAAACAAGATTAAGAAGAACAAACGAATACAAGAGAAAATGAAGTGAAACATAAAAAATAGAAAAAATAATAAAAAACATACTAGCCACACCACATTTTTACTTAAGAAAGAAATAGCCTGCGCTAATTAATCCCAAGCATTCTTGTCCTCCATGTAATCCACAATCGAGTAGTAGGCCCTCTGGCACAAGCCACGTTTTATTGCGGATTTAAATTTGTTAATACTCAACTCCTGAATATTATTTGGGATTTTATTATAAAATCGGACACATTGACCTCGAAAAGACTTGTTTATCTTTTGGAGCCTAGAGGCGGGTACAACAAATTTATTTTTATTTCTGGTATTTATGGCATGTACATCACTTTTTTTCAAAAAGCTATCTTTATTTTTGTGAAATACGAACATTATGAAATGATCATTTCATAATGTTCGTATTTCAGGAAAGAATCGGTCACATCGTGAAATGGTCTAATCAGATCATTGAGTCATTAACGTTTGAGAATATGAACGTCTAAACAAAATTGGCAGGCTCGACCGGAGTGATAATACGACCTCACAGAAAACCGGTGTTAACTTCCATCGTTGCTCTTCACGGAGAGAGAGAGGTTACCGGAGCTTAAAATCAGGATTGATTTCCAACGTTGACTGTAATGTGATTATATC